AGTCAATAAATCTCTCTGGTCTGTTTTTCCCCCTGTTCCTTATGCTGTTAATGGGAATGGAAGTAGGTGCAAGCTTTCTTTTTATTTTTTTAACTGTCTTCAGATGTTAATGTTGCCTTTTGTGTAATTTAATCCCATTATGTTATTTAATTGTTACTGCAATATTAACTACTGTATTTGTTGACTTTGTTTAATAACTGTTCTTTCAGGGCTAGAAATAAACTTTTAAAAAACCTTTGGGGCTTTTTTCCCCCTTTTCCCTGTCATGAGTTTATACCTTTGATGACAAGAGTATCTGAAAGGGTTCATGTGTCGGTGTTCTACTGAGATTAACAGAATGTATTTGTAACTAAGGTTCTTATGAGTACTTTAATGATGGTGGATATAATTTTATGCTATACCAGCCTGTTTCTTTGAAGTTTTATTATTCGTGTCAGTACCAGCCTTGGGATCCCCACAAGCTTTCCTGGGTGTGCCTCCCAGAAAAACTCTGGATTGCTGATGGGAGGAGAGCAGCTCCAAAACACCCTTTTCACCCACTGTGGAAGAGATCTCTCGCCCTCCATGTGAAGGGAGCAAAGCAAACACCAGCCTGGCCCGTCCCAGCTGCATCTTCCCCCTCTGTTGGCCAGTGCTGGGGTGGGACCGATGGGCCTGGTAACCTCTGGAGATGTGGTGATGATTCAGGAGCTGCTCCCAAGAGCTCTGCTTTGTTGCACCATGGGTACATCCACTGTCCTGCTTATAAACATTGTGGCACAGGATCCACGGGAGCTGAGCTGTCCTGCTGGGAAGATTTGGCTCCTGGGTTTGCTCCATCGCCGCTGATCGGCGTTGGACCGTGGGAGTGAGGCACCGGGTGCCGGCAGCCCTACGAGGACTTGGGATGAGATCCATGGTGCCTCTTGGCCTCCAAGGCTGCAGAGAGCCACTTTTGTTTTCCAGGGGACCTACAAAGAGGCTGTGGGATGTTGGCCTGCCAATCCAGCCAAGGACAAGGAGGGATTTACTTTGGGTTGAGTCCGGGTCAGTTGGCTCCAGATGAAGTTCCTGCCTCAGTTGTGAACGGCGAGGACTTGGCATGTCCTGTGTTCCCTGTGTGTTCCTGGGAAATGGGCTCTTCCCCTTTCTTGCATGTTGTACAAGCTTTGCTCGTACACTGACAAAGGGAAATGAAGAAACCACTCATCTCCAGCAGCTGCTTCACCCAGACATGAGAATGTTGGTTTGCTCAGAGCCTGTCTCTTCAGAATTACCAGTCTGTTGCAGTATCTTTGTCTTCCTATATGATCCACTCTTTGTGCATTTAAACTGGTGTTCTTTAACACTGCATTTAAGTGATATGACATTTAATTTCTGGGGGAAAAGTGGGCAGGAGGAGAAGGTGCTCAGTGGAACTCAGGACTGTTGAAATTTTGATACTTGAAGGAGAGCAGGGCTTTGGCTGATTTTGGCTTACATGGCTGAAAGTTGCAAATCCTTGGTAAATCCTCCTAAGTCTTGTGTGAACATGCTCATCCCTTGCACATACCTGACCCAAGAGCAGACCCATTCTTTGAGATCAGCTTATTCAAGATTGGGTATTTAAAACATAGTTCTTGAAGGCAGTAAATTTAGGGGCAGCGATTTCTCCCTTTCAGGGCAGATGTTTGGCTGCAGTGAATTACTGCAAAGCTGAGCACAACTGTTTGGATTGCACCTGGAGCATGCTGGTTAAACCAGGGTGGGTGAAAAGTGAGGATCCTCACAGCAGCGTTTTCATGGTGGTGCCTGAAGAGCATTGTTGGGTCTCAGTGCAGTTCCAGTGGCTCCTGTGCTGGAGCACTGTGCTGTCCACAGATCTCTGTTCCCGGGGATTTGTACAGCTGCATTTTCCCCCCTTTTTAAATATAACTTGCATTTTGCTCTCAAGATTATTTTTAATAAAAACAGCTGTCCTCGGTCATGTGAGGAAGCAACGTGAAAGTTTGCTGAGCTCAGCCAAACTCTGGCTGCTGCTCTCCAGATGTGTGGAGGAAGCAGGTTCTCTAAGAGCTCTTTTCCCTGCTTTGAAACCAGCCTAAGGAAGGATTTCTTTTCCTAGAGGGAGGGAAATACCACCAAGTGAGAACGATGACCTTCTGTGACTTCTCTACCTGCAGCCTGTTAGGAGGGAGCAGGGCAGCACCAGCAGAGTCTTGCCTTGCTTTTCCCAGCTGGTGTCTGCAGTGGGAATGTCCTCCAGCACATCATCACTTCAAATTGCAGAATCAGTAAGGTTGGAAAAGACCTTTAGGATCATCAAGTCAAATCCATCAAGATTTCAAATCCCCGTTGACCTGAATGTTAAAACAGCCCGTAGGGGACCAGTGATTTGGGTTTTTTAATGGGATTTTCCCAGTGGGAAGTTAGGAGTTGCTCATTCTCTTTCAGGGCCCCCAGAGTTCTGCTTTGGGGCTGTGTTGAGTCAGTGCAGAGGAGGGAAGAGCAGACAGGCTGTGTCAAGGCACAGATGTGGCTCAGTGCACGGGCACTACAGTGGGCAGTGAGTCCAGCTCGGTACAAGTGCATCAACACTGAGGACACTGATGGGACACTCAGGGCAGCTCCCCAGAATGGTCTGGAGGGGAGACACACCCACACCATGTGCAGGGCTGACCTTCCTCAGGGCAAATGTCTTCTGGAATTCCTTGAGGTTTCTAGAGCCAAGGATGACCCATCTTTGTTATTTTTTCCTCTCAGTGAATGCTTATTCTGAGGATTCATGTCCTTTCACAAAGCACAATTAACTCTTGGATCCCCTGGAGCCCTTTTCCTGCCTGACCATGAAGGGAAACCTGCCTTGTTCCTGCTGCCTTGTCACAGCAGCTGGGAACATGTGGCTGCTTCTGGAAAGCTCTAATCCACCCTCTGCCCAGTGAAACTTGCCTTAAATAACCTTATGGCTTTTTTTTTTTTTTTTTTTCCCTGTAGCTGTTGCCTCTTTGAGGGCAAAAACATTGAGCGAGCCAGGGTGGCTCTGCTCAGCTCTTGTGACCCTTCAGTGTTTTTGGGGAATGTTTATTTTGCTGAAATCTGGAAATGCCAACTTGTTCCTGTCCAGTGGCTAAATTTAAATATCTGCATTTTTAAAAAGCATGTTTGGTTTAGAAAGACACTGATGTTCCAGCTACAGAAAAGGGGTTTTTGGTGGGAATATTGGAATTTTTATGTAGTTTTGTTCCTAGAAGAGCAGCCCTGCAAAGCTGTATGGAGTCTGCTGTCAGCACTAACACAAATGAGGGAACGAGCCCCTGGCCTTTTTTAATCCCATAGTTGTCCTTGGAATCCACTCCCAGCTCCTCACTCCAGCCTGGGTTAAACATCCCACAACTGTGCCATGGGCAGAATTGCTAGCAATGGCTGGGAAATAGTTTTTAAACCTTGGAATGTTTATTTCCTAAGGCCCAACTCTTACAATGATTGAAAAGAAGGGGGAAATCCATTTCTGGGGGAAGGAAAAGATGTTGGAATTTCTTTCCCAGTTTTACCAGTCTGTGTCCTGTGATCTGGTGGTTCTTTTCCAGGGACTGGATTCAGGCTGTGTTGCTGGGTCCTTGTGAGGTTTTGTTTCTAAAGAGGAAACTCTACTGGTTTCTCTATTCCTGAGAAACACAGGAGGAGGGAGGGGAGGTGGAAAGAATTGAGTTGGATTGTGATGTTAGGTATGTGATGGTTGTTTCTGCAGTGATGAGTAGCTTTGAACAGCACTTTGTTGCTACCAGAGGCCAATTTTCTTGAGACAAAATTACTAATTTATGAGACTCTTAAAGAATATTTCATTTTCTGTGATTCGAGCAAAGTCGTTTGTTCATTTGAGGTGAAAGATGGGTGCTTGTCTTGCCATCTGGAGGGTGAATTGTGGTAAAAAGGGTTAAACTGGGAGAAGTTCTGCGGCAGGCTGACCAAAAGGTTTGGGGGGGAGGAGAGGAGGGCTTGGATGATGGGTGGTCCCTCATCCTTGCCCAGACTTCCCATGGTTTCCAAAGCCAGGGCTGTGAGCAGGGATCCCATGGACCCTTCCCAAAACCTTTGCTGGGTGGGCATTTGGGGATGAAAAAGAAGTGGGGAGGGAAGATGAAAGGAGGGAGGGTGGTGCAGGGGGAGGTGCTGAGCTCTGGCCTTCACAAGCATCCCCACAATGTTGTGTTTCTTTGCTGTCAAAGGCTGTTGAGGGAGAGGCTCCAATGCATTTGAGACATCTGCTCCTGCTTTTCATGGCTCAGGCTGCACTGCTGGAGCCACCCTGGACTGTATGAAGGGCCTCATCCCTGCCCAAGCGTGCTTCAAGCCTGGGTTTCCTGGTAATTTCTTCTATAAATGACAAGAGGGGAAGAAAAATTGCCCAAATCAAAGCTGTTGGCTCTGTGTGTGTGACGGGGCAGTGAGAGGAGCTGGGTTACCTGCCAGCACTGCCTGCCCTGGGCATGCTGGAGCTCTCTGTGGGGACTGTGGGGATGGCAGATGTGGGCTCAGCGTAGTGGCATTTCTATGCAGATCAGGGAAATGACCCAGAAGACACATCATGTATTGTTTATCATGGAATCCCAGGATGGTTTGGGTTGGAAGGGGCCTTAAACCTATTTTTTTCCACTCCTTCCGTGGGCAGGGACACCTTCCACTATCCCAGGTTGCTCCAAGCCCCATTCAACCTGGCCTTGGGATGGTGCAGCCACAGGCATTGGAGCCAAGCAGAAAGAAAATGAAGTTTTTTGTTCCTTCTGGAAGAGCTGTCAGCTCTGGGAGCTGCTGTGGGCTCTCAGGTGTGAGTGCTGGGGCTGGGAGCTCAGTGCCTGGTGGAGATAACACCAGGATTTGCTGCCACAAACAATTTGGTGGCTGCTCCAGCTGCTGTGAGTCCAGCAGCTCCCTGTGGCACTGGCACTGCCCCGTGGGGGCCACACGTGTGGCCTTTCCCAGGCCTGTCGGGCTGTGCCACGTTTGCTTTATAAAGAGGAGGTGCAGGAGCTTCCTCTGCTCCTTCCCAGGTGCTGCCCCCAGCACAGCCTTTGCTATGGATGGCTTGAATGTCTCCATTGCTTTCTTTTTCCTGGTTTTTGGGGTGTGCCAGGTGCTCAGGTGGCTTTCCAAGAGGTTTCTGTCCCCTGGAACACATGGCTGCCTTGCCAGGGAATTTGCTGGCTCGTTCCAGCTGTGCACGAGCTGCCTTGAGCTGAGGATGCTGATGGAGATCGGCCCCTGGGGTGGTGGCTTTGGCCTGGACGTGGTCCTGACCCTGCTCTTCCTCCTCTCCGCTGTCCACGGCGCCTCTTTGGACGGAGCATCCGCCAACCCCAGCGTGTCTCTGCAGGAGTTCCTGCTCCTGGAGTGCAGCCTGGCAGCCACGGCGGCCAAGCTGCTGGCCCAGGCCGTGGGTGCAGGGACAGGCTGGGCTGCCACACGGCTCTGCTGGTCCTGGGAGCTGACCCAGCTGCACTTCATCCAGAACCTGATCGCGCCCGAGTGCAGCTCCTCCATCCACACCTCCTTGCCCCACGCCGCCTTTGTGGAAGGCTCCTGCTCCTTCCTCTTCCACCTCGTCCTCCTCAAGGTGCGACAGAGTCACCCCCTGTACCGGGTCCCTGCGCTGGCAGTGACTGTCACCGTCCTGACCTACACAGGTGAGCAGCACCAGCGTCTCTTCTCCTGAGTCTTGCAAAAGGACCTCATTTGTGGGGGAGGAATAGCCCCCTGATTTTCATCTTCCAGGACTGGAGAGGCAGGGGTTAACTGCTAAGGTGTTTGTTTTCTGTTATTTTGGGGAGTATTCATTTTGGGATGAAGATGGCACTTTGGGCTGTCTGGGCTGCAGGTGAGGTTTGGCTCACAGCCATAGCTCAAGACTGGGATCACTTCCCTGGAACGTTCCCTTCTGCAATCCCTCAGTCCTGCATGAGCGCTCCTGCTTCCCTCCAAGTCCAGGGCGACAAGGGTGGGATTTCCCCAGTCCGAGAAGGAGGCAGGAGGGGTCACAGCCCTTTGGCAGTGTTCAGAGGATGCAGTGGGACTCTTGGCCACGTTTCTCTTCCCACACAGCTGGACCATACACGGGAGCCTTCTTCAACCCTGCCTTGGCCACGGCCACCACCTTCCACTGCTCGGGGAGCAGCTTCTGGGACTACATCCAGGTTTACTGGCTGGGGCCCCTGGCAGGTGAGAGCTTCCTGGGGGCAAGGCAGAAATGCTCAGTGTAACGTGGACTCTTCTGGCAAAGGGCTGAATTTGGGGTTGCCAATGGCAAGTGTCACTTTTCATCCTGCCTCATTGACTCTGGGGTCATCTCTTTGCTATCCAATTTTTTAAAATCCAACTTCTGCATGGTACAAGGGCAGAAATCTCCCTGAAGCCAAAGTCTGGGGGAGGTTTAGCAAAGGGTTTTAGGGCAATGGCAGGCTGAGCTATGCTTTGAGGCTGTCCTCAGCTCCAGCACGGTCATGGGGAGCTGGATGTGTACTGAGAGTGGAGCCAGGTGCCAGTCGGGCTCTGCTCCCAGGTAACTCTGATGGGACAAGAGGAAACGGCCTCGAGTTGCCCCTGGGGAAGTTTAGATTGAGTATTGAGAAAATGTCTTCCCTGGAGAGTGATGAGGCACTGGGACACTGCTGAAGGCAGTGGTGGAGGCACTGTCCCTGCAGGGATTGAAAACCTCGGGTCAGGACCAGCGGTGACCTCGGCAGCACTGAGGGAATGGTGGGACTCGATGGGCTCAGAGGACTTTTCCAACCTTAACAATTATCTGCCAGAAAACCACTGGGGTGGTTTATGGGTCAAACCAAGCATTGTTTGTTATGTTAAGGACAGAGTGGTAAATTCTCCTTAAAGCAGTACAGTGAGGGTTCCTCAGCTCTCCGTGGGGACTTCAGTGGTGCTGAGCTGCCTTTTGGTCATGGTGTAGGCTGTGACAAGGAGCCAAGACAGCTGCTGAGCTGTGGGGAGGGTGGAGATGCTCAACACAGCGCTGGGAAGGGGTCTGTGCTCTCATTCCAGGGATGCTCGCTGCCCTCCTGCTGTTCCAGGGCAACATCCCACGCCTCTTCCAGAAAAACCTCCTCTACAGCCAGAAGACCAAATACAAGGTGCCCAAGGTAAAGGTGACAGCGCAGGTGGAGGGTGACAAACCACAGAGGAAGAGGAAAGGGGGGAAGAGCAGCTCGGAGCCCCGTGCCTGAGCCCGAGGTCCCGGCAGCCCTTTTCCTGGGAAAGCGTTTCCCGGTGTGGAGGATTTTGCAGCTCGTTCAGTCCTTAAAGCATCACAAAGGAACCCTCGCAGGATGCCCGAGCCCCTGAGCTCCTTTGGGAATTGCTTTGAAAGCCTCCCTGGAGAGCCCGAAATGTTTCAAGCCCACGCTGCTGCCTCAGAGAGAAAACACGGAACACTTTTGCATGAATTGCTGGTTTTCTTGTACTGCCAGGAATCTTACAGATTGCACTGTGCAATGCCTGCAATAACCCCACTGGGTCTCTTGCAGCACTAAAAACAAAGTTTAAGCCAGTAACTGCCTTGGACACTTGGGTTGGGGTGGAATCAGGCTTTGATATTTTGACTTATTAATGGATACTGGTTAAAAATTGGTGGGTTTTGAGTTAAACTTGACCTGAAGTCCTTGAATTGCACAGGCTGAACCTGGCAAGTCTTGGAGAGGCATTAAAAATCTCCAAGGCAGGAGAGTTCACTGGCCACGGGAGAACCTGCTCCTCTGGGAATGTGCTTAGCCAGGGTTTTGGTGCTGTAAAGCATCAAGAAATGGTGTGCCAAGGGTCTGTTGTTGGAAAAAACCAAGGAGACCCAGGCAGCTGCTGTGCATCCTTAGACCCTGCTCTATGTCTACGTGAAATACTCCTAACTATAAAATTACAGTTTGGGGGGGAAAAGAAATATAAAATGCTGTGGTTGGCATTTGGGTGAGTGATGTTGTTCCTGGAGCCCTGCTGGGACACATCCCTGAAAATGGGAGTCACTGTGATGGCCAAACCACCTCTGCCCTGTCTGCTGCCTGCTCTGGAAAGGGGAGAAACACCTCCTGGAAATGGGGATCCCCCAGGCTGTGCTGGGACCAGGGCACCCTATGGGAGCTCCCCTCTGGGTGCTCTCCTCACGGGACAGCACAGGGAGTCTGTGATGCTCTGGCTGCTCCAGTATCTCTGCCCTGGATCAGAGTTCCTGACAGGAATGACCTGCTCCTATTTCCTGAGGTGCAAACAGGGAATAAGCAAGTGGCACCCAATGCAGACCTGGAGTGGAGGTGTCAGATGCAGGTTTGGTACCCAATGTCCAGCCCTGCTCCTCCCTCCACTCTGCTGTGTCCATGGGGAAACAACCCCAGGGTGCTGCTGGCCTCTGGGTGCCCACCCCGGCTGATTTCCTCTGGGATTGCCTCTGGAGGGACCTGCAGGACCCCCAGACCTCTGACACCATGAGCCCAGCCCACATCCCAACAGGAGAAACGAGAGAAGGGGCCAACACAGCCATACGCGGATGTGCCCCAGAGATGGAACTTCATGGAACACACGGCACCCCAAACCATGCAGCAAATCCCCAAACAGTGCCCTCTCCTTGTGCCCTCTCCTTGTGCCCGGCCAGATGCTTGGCACTGCCCTGGGAAGGGCACTGGGAGCACAGTCTGGCTGTTTTCCTGGTTAAACTCAGCAGGAGACCTTAGGGTGGAAACTGAAACCTTTGAGACTCTTCGTGGCTGCCCCAGGGGCACCCTGGGATGATCAGATGCCCCTGGGCAATTTTTTCAGAACCTCTTTTGGTTTGGAAATCATGCTGAAAAGCCAGAGATGGGGCCTCTGTTTATCCCAGCTGATTTGCTGGCTCTGCTTTTGATTCAAGGAGAAGTGCAGGATGAGAAAAGTCAGGCTCAGTTGCCCTCCATGAGCCATTCCTGAGGGATCTTTTCCCGGCACAGGATATTCCTGTGGCAGCTCAGAGTGGTGGGTTGGGATGTCTGGCTGCAGAGAGGCTCATCATGAGATGTCTCCCTGTCACACAGGGATGGAACCTGAGTCTGACACTGCAGAATAGGATGCTGATCCTATAAATGCAGGATCCAAAGGCAACCTGTAACCACAGAGTCAGCACAAAATTATGCTGGGGCCTCCCTTTTTTCTGGTGGTTTCTAATTTTTTTTTTTTTTTGGGGGGGTGGGGTTGTTTGTTTGTTTGGGGTTTTATTTGGTTTAGTTTTTTCCCCCCTGCTTTTCAGGACATATTAAAATGTTTGGGGTGTACTTCTGGGGCTTTTGGGGAGATCGTCTACTGGGCAGACTGATGTAACTAAGAGGAATTTAAGGAGTGACAGTGACTGTTGTTATTTTTAATTAAGAGGCTGCTTTTCCAGCATAGTAACATCAATGGAGCAGGGGCGAGGTGCAGCTGCACAGACAGGCAGACAGACAGACTCATTCCCACGCTGCAAATCAAACCCCACAGCTCTGATTTACAGCTTGGCCCTGTTCTGTCGCCATCTCTGCTGCGGGGCTGAGGATTTGGGCTGCCCTCCTGGATCTGCTCCTTGCTGCTGGAGCCGGTGCTGTCCCGAGGTTTCAGCTGCTGACTGGGGGGGATTTCCCCTTGGAAAAGTCCTGTCCATCCCCCGGGAGCCCCGCTGCAGCCCGGTCCTGTCCATCCCCCGGCAGCGCCCGGAGAGGTGCCCGGGGTGGCCGGGCTGTGCCGGGCAGGGCAGCCCCGAGCCTCGCTGCGCTCAGCAGATGTTGAAGGATGCTGGGGGGTCAGTGGGGCTCAGTGCCGGGCGGCACCGGGGGGAACTGCTTCTTGTAGAGGAGGCTGCTGTACTGCAGCTCCGGCGTCACCAGCCGCCGGCAGGTCCGCTCCAGCTCCCGCCCCAAGCCCTGCTTGAGGTTGTAGCCCAGGATCCTGGCCCCGCCGTGCTGCAGCGGGCGCAGGGAGGAGTCCCTGATGTCCTTGGGCCCCACGCTGCCCGTGCCCTGCAAGCAGATCCCGGCCAGCTCCGCTCGCCGCCGCCGCAGCGCGCTCACCTCCCGCCGCAGCCGCTCCCGCCCCACGGCCCGCTCGATCCTCTCCCAGAATGTCCTGTTAAAGTGCGAGTAGATTTCCCAGTCCAGCCTGTTCCAGGCCTTCAGCTTCTCCACCACGGAGTCCGGGAGGGCGGACTTGGTGCTGCTGTCCCTGCTGTTGAGCGGGAAGGAGACGACGCTGTCCAGGTCCCAGCACAGCATCTCCTTCAGCAGCACCATGGACTCGTCGAAGTACTCGGAGATGAGCAGGAAGTCGAAGGACGCCTCGATGGCCTTGAGCATGAGCTGCACCCGCTCGGGGGACACGTCTCCGTCGGGGTTGAAGCCGAAATCGAAGGTGATGAGGTTCCTGGCGTAGTGGCGGTCGCCGCTGGCGGGGCTGTAGTAGCGGTAGGGCTGGCTGAGGAACTCCTCCAGGCTGCGGACGCGCGAGAAGGCCGACGCGCCCTTGTAGTACACGAAGGAGGACTCCATCAGCTGCACGGGGTTCCTCAGGATGGAGAAGTAGATGGCAGAGCTGGGCACCACCTTCTGCACCTGCGGAGGAGAAAAAGGAGGGTTTAAATGTGGGGCAGGGAGAAGGGACCCGCTCGCCCACAGTGCTGGTGAGCAGAGGCAGCTGCTGGGGCTGGAGGGTGCTGGGGAGGATTTCAGGGTGCAGCTCATCAAAGAAGCTGTGGGGAGCTCCAGAGGAGTCACATGTGGAGAGCAGTGAGCAAAGCTCCCCACAGCTGTGGGCTGGGATGGAGGTACTGTCCATGTCCTTCCCTTTCCCCGTGTCCACCTGTCCTTAGGTGGCATCCAGAGGGGTGGATGCTGGGCACGGCTGACCTGCACTGATGCACTTTGGTTGTTCTCCTCTTGCAGCTGGTCCCCTCTGGGCCTGTCCAGGGAGCAGGACATGTCCCAGGGCCCACCAGACAAGAAAGAGATGAGAGCTGCTGGCTGCTACAGATGCTGTCTCCCACTTTGCCCTGGCTCACAGCACAGGATTTCATCAAACCCACGCACAGAAGCTCTCAGGAGATGCCAGGAACCCACGGACAATCCTGACTCTCTTTAGTTCAGCCCTGCAGAGTTTATGTGCTCGACAGGTGCCCCTCCTTGTGCCCCATGAGCCCCTCTCCCCCTTCCCTGCCTGCCCCCCCGCCGGGTCGCAGCTTTGCCCGTACCTCCGGCTGCAGGAACCGCATGTGGTGGCAGAGGATGTTGAAGCGCCGGGGGCTCAGAGGGGAGAAGCCCTGCACAAACTTGGCCATGAAGTGGTGGGGGTAGTAGAGCTGGAAGCCCCCGCCTCGGGGGAAGGCGAAGGTGAGGTTGTGTGTCTCCCCAAAGCGGAACAGGATGTTCATGACAGTGCTGCTGGCACTCTTGTGGACTTTCAGGAAAACAAGGTCAGTCTTGGGCTTGCACGTCTTCCCTTGAGAGGTGACTTCTCTGGCATGCCGACCTTCCCCAGCTGTTACCTCCTTGACCTTAAAGGCTTCTGTCCAGCTTGGGAAAAATCCTGTCTCCAGGTCTGTTTTGTAAGAATCCTCTGCCTGCAGAGGTTGAGCTGAGTTTGGGACAGGCTGTGTGAATGAGGTGCCCCACTCAGGGTGGGGAGAACTCAGAGCTCGAGGCTGAGTCTGGCTCTGTACCTCCACCTGCACCATTCCAGGTAGGGCCATTCCCCTCTGCTCCTCTGTGCCCAGCCTGTTTGCAAAGATGATGAACTTGCTGGTGACAGCTTCTGCCAAATCTGCCGCGGCCCTGCCGGGAAGGCTTGGAGAAGGACTTTCTCTGGCTGCTTCTTCCAGGCCAGGAAGCCGGGGCTTCAGCTCTGCGGGTGACAGATGGGCTCTCACCTCCTCGCTGCTCTCCTCGGGCCGCTGCATCCAGCGCTCCTCTTGGCTGCTTCCCGGAGGGGTCTCCGGTCTGAGGTACAGATGCATCCTGAAAGCATCCTCGGTGGAAGCAGGGGCTGGCTCAGCTTCCCTCTGCCCCTGAGGGGAGTCATCCTCCCACAGCAGCTCGGGGCTGTGGAGGGCAGAGGCGAGCCCCTGGCCCGTGGTCGGCTGCAGGCCACGCTCCAGCTCACACTGGCAGCTCCTGTGATGGGGAAGACACAATGCTCAGCTGCAGGAGGTGGGAGGACAATGCAGAAGCAGCTCCTCTGCACCCCCCTGGCCCCCCAAAGTCACCCCAAAACACATTCCCTCCTTTTCGTGAGTGGGTGGCATTGCTGATGGGCTTCACTGCTGCCCTGAGGGGTGGGAGTGGGTGCAAGAACTTGGGGTTGATCATCTTGGAGGTCCTTTGCAACCTTAATGATTCTATGAAGAAGAGAAGGACAGGTCAGCAGTGATGTGGCAGTGTCTTTGTCTTGCTGGAGCATGACAGGATGCTGGCAGAGCAGAGCAAGAAGAGGCAAGAATAAAGAAGAGCTGGTGGTCTGGAGATAACCCCAGACTGGGAGGACTGGGCTCAAGGGCTGTAGGGTTTTGTGGTGAGCCAGACAAAGCCCAGGCAGCCTTGTCTGACCCCAGGGTGGGCCCAGCTCTGGTCAGGGCGTAGGGGTGAGATGTGGGACCCCCAGAGGACCCTCTCTCACCTGGATTTTCCTCCCTGTCTAAGGAAGACCCTGCTGGCTGGTTTTCAGGAGGGCAGTTCTGAGCCCGCCTCAGTGGCCAGCGAGAGGCTGGAGGAGGAGGTGCAGGTGCATAATTCTGCTCAGGACCTACCCAGGAGGCTGCAGCTTCTCCACAACCTGAAGTGTGACCAGGAGGAGGACGAGGAGGCTGAAGGAGATCCAGAGCCGACCTGGCTGGCACCTGTAGATTGCACTCAGCTTCCTGCAAGGAAACAGATTTCAGCCCATTTGTGGGGAGGAGAAGCCAAGACCAGTGGTGTGTGTGTGAGGTGGACGGGAAAGGCGCCTTGAGGCTTTTTTATTTTTATCTTTATTAAACGTAAGGTCATGTTTTCAGGGGCGGAAATGATGCAGAGGCAGCGATAACCGGGGAACCTCCGAGGCTGTGCCCCAGCAGTGCAGCCTCATGGAAATTTCCAGATGGGTCACAGGTATTGTGCTGCAAAGCAAACAGTGAATACCACTGAGTCCCTTGGCTGCTCGGGGACACCTTTCTGGAGCAGCCTGAGCCCCCCCCAGGCAGCAGGAACAGGGCACTGCCTGTGTGTTCCCTGCCCTGCCTGGCCAAGAAGGATCAGGATCTTTATCAACATGGACAATAAAACTCTTTTTTCCCTGCTCTCTCCACTCTCTGCTGTTGGACTGCCATCTGCACAGGCTCCAGCTGTGGCTGCAGATGTGATGGGAGCCCCAGCAGTGCCTGGATTTTAGTCTGATTTTAGCCCTGTCTACAACAGCAGTGTGATTTCTTCAGGCCATCAGAATTGTGCTGGCAGGGTTTGGGTTGTGTATGGCAACGTTAAGGCCATGGAAATGCTGCCACAGGGCTCCTTCTGTTTGTAGGGCTTGCTGCAAACCCTGGTGGAGCTTGATTGTAGCTTTAACTTCAGTGGAACAGTCGAGGGGCTGAATTTCCTGGAAAATGGGATTTGTTTGTATTTTTTTTTTTTCACAGAAAGGTTGTCCAGTCCCAGCAGGTGTGACATTTGGAATTATGGGTTAGTGGTGGCCTTGGCAGTGTTGGGGGAAAGACTGGACTCGATCTTAGAGGGCTTTTGCAGCCTGAATGATTCCATTATTCTGCTGGTTTTTCCCCAGGGAGCTCATTGTTGCATAACAGGAGATGATTTGTCCTGAGGATCTGGCTAAACCCTCTGGGACTGGGCTCTGCTGTGGGGGAAGCCCAGCCAGTCAGCCCCAGGTGGCTCTCCCCTCTCAGGGAGGGAGAATCACAGGCAGCAAGGATCTAAATGGGAGAAATTAAGGACAGCAGAAATTTGGGCAGAGCCTGCTTGGAGGCCGCATTCCACCAGCCAGGCTGGGTCTGTTGGCATTTCTGCCTTCCTGCAGTGGTCAGCTTTGCACCAAGGCAGCGGGACTGGGACTGCACAGACCTGCTTGTCCCAGAGCTTCTTCACCTGCAGAACTCCCCTGTGAGGCAGCAGTGACACAAACGTGGGCATCCCACGGGTACAGCTCAGGAGTTTAGGTGTGCTATGAGAAACTGGGTTTGTTCCAGGAAGACCATCAGCTGTCATGATTCAGTAGTAGTTTGATAATGACAGCACTGCTTGCAGTGGTTGCACACTCACGGTTCTGCTCTGCTCCCAAAAATGTCCCTTCACTGAGCTGAAACTCCCAGCTCCTCCCAGGAGGATTTTAGTGTCTGAAGTACTCAGGACTGGGAAGGCTGGGAGGTCTGAGGCCATGGCTCCTGAGGATTCAGAAGGTTTCATCGCTGCTGGTAATTACTGCCCATCACAGCATCCCCAGTCCCTGTGGCAGCCTGGAGGTATCCACGCTCTTTGCCACTTGAGGAGCAGGCTGCCAAGCTCAGGTGAGACAGGAGGTGGCAAATGCACGTGTGGGTCACTGCCTGGCCATGCCACTAGCACAAGGAGACCCCCGTGAGGTCAGAGATAAACAGACGTGACAAATAACAGAGCAGAAAAATGCCAAAAGCTTAAACAGAGCTTAAAATGCCAAGAGGTGTTAAGAGGGAGGGTTGAAGCAGAGCCTTGAGGCTGCCCCAGAGCTGGTGTGAGGAAAGGTTTGTTGAAATAACTCCATGTGGAAGATCAGAGAGACCACGGAGGGAGAAGGCAATGAGAGAGATGCTCCAAAACGCAGTGATTCCTCTGGATCTGGCTGGAGACTTGATCCAGCTCTCCCATCACTCCAGGCAAGGCTGGTCATCCTTTCGTCTGGCTGACCACGGTAAGACAAGCAGCAATGAGGGAATGAAGAGCTGCAGCACTGTGATATTTAGTGATACACAAACTCTTGGGGGAACCTGCAGGAGCACACAGTAATGAAGGCAGAAGGATGGAGCATTTCCCCCCAGGCAGGGCTGGGGGCAGCCCCTCTGCCACTCCCTTATCTGTATCTGCTGCAGGTATAATCCTGGCCTTGCTTCCACAGAGGTCCTAAACTTCCAACCTGTGAGAATCTGTGAAAGATCCAGGTCCTTTGGCTCTTTTATGGTGTGTGGGAACCCAGAGCTTCCCTCTGGCTGCCCCGGCAGGTCTGGGACCCTGGCAGGGGTCAGGAATCCCCTGTACAGAGCCCCCAGAGACACTGGCTGTGATCTCTGTCCATGGAAAAGAGTTTTCAATCTTACAGGATTAATTACCAGCTCTGAGTGTTTGATATAAGTAATAATTAAGTGTGGCACGGGTGCAAAAGTAACATTTTAGGATTCTAGATTAGGGGTCCAAAGGGGACAAGATGGAGGAAATTGGGTGTGTCTTGTCCTTTTCCTCCTTCTTCATGCCCTCCATGTTTCACTGTGGTGTTGGCATTTTTCTGTTGGTTCAGGCTGGGGACACACTGTTCAATGTAGGTGACAGATATTGGCACGTTATTGTAAATCCAGCACAGGCAGTTTGTGGTATTTAATGTTTGTACCATCCCACTGAGGGCAGAGCCCCACATGCTGCCCTGCAGGACAGAGCTGCGGCAGGGCAGCAGAACATGTTAGAGATAAACAGAATAAACAACCTTGAAACAGCACAGATGAATTATGGCTTCTGCTTTGGCAGTGGGGCAGAAAGACAGAGACTTTCTACAATCTCAGAATCATTAATACCTCAGATTCCGACACTGGTGGCTGTTGTGTTGGTGGAACACCCAGCTGAGAACACACAACACGTGTTGGGCTGACATGTGTTGGGGCTAGCCAGGCTGGCACAAAGCCACAGCCTTTCCTTCCTCTTCTGGGCTGGCTCTGAGGGACACATGGACATCAAGGAGGGTGTGCTGAGAAAGTGGCAGTGCTAAAATTGCCAAGAAGTTGCATTGAAGGCAGCAAAACATCCCTTAAATGGCACATGGTTCATGAGCAGCCCTTGTTTTGGAGGCTGGAGCAGGATGGCGAGAGGTGCCCGAAAAACAAATCTTCAGAGGGCTCAGCTGCCCCTGTGGGTAACCCCTGCACAGCCTGCTCTCCATTTACACACTGGGATGGGGTCAGGGAGGTGTATCTCGGGGCAGAGTTAAACACCTGAGGCCAGAGCACCAGGAGGGTGTCCAGGCTGCACTTGGAGCCCTGCAGGGCAGATTGGGCTGCAAGAGCCCAGCTCCTGCAGAGCCTTTGGAGATGCCTCCATCTGCAGCTGAAGAGCCCCCTCAGACCAGAGCCTGGGTGCTGTCACCTCCAGAAGTGACAAGCAGGGTGCAGGGCTGGATGCAGCACCCCAAAGATGCCTTTGGCTGCAAAGGCTCAGTGGAAGAGCCAGAGCAGCTGGATCCCCCTATGCTGGCTCAAGGAATTGAATCCAAACCTGAACCAGTGGTCAAATCTTTGCAAGGGATGGTGCTCCAGCTGTCTCAGTGCCAGCCCCTGCAGAGGAGAGGGTGCCACTTGTTCTCAGCAGGGCTGCAGATTTCCCCTCTGTTATTCCCCCACTCCTCCAAGCAGATCTTCCCTCCAGCCCCTTCCTTGTCCAGCCCAGAGACAAAAGCCCCAGCCAGGATGGGTCTGTGGGTCTGTTTCAGGGCCCTCAGGCTCCCAGCCAGCTGTGGGTGCTGCAGGAGGTGCTGAGGCTGAGCTCACCGGGCAGCTGAGTGGCAGAAAAAGATTTTACTGTTTTGCTGTGCCCAGATATTCTCCAGGCGGTGAGCGAAGTTGCACAAGGAATTAATGTACACAATGCATACACCAGGCATAGCCTGCTCCCTATGACCAGTCACTGGAGGCATTTTTTCTGGCAGTAAATGAGAAATTGGGCAAAATGGTCAGCAGGGTGCTCAGGTAGCACAGCAAGGGCACAGTGGCACTGCCTGCCTGTGTCAGTACCCACCCTACACTTGACAGCTGGGTTGGGATAACCCCGAGCCTTCTCACCCTCAGCTCTCCCCCAGCCTGAGGACTCTGCTGCAGAGTCAAGCCTTGCTCTTCCCTCATCCCTCCTGTCCAAACCAGAGGCTGTGGAAAAGGGCACCTCACCCCAGGGGTTGCCATGTGAAAATCTTACACAGAGACACATTTCTGCTCTACATCTACTCCTCTGGGGATCCCTCACCTGGGATGCTGCAGGAGAGACCAGCATCTCAGTGCCCTCCCAAGGTCTGTGCCATCTCCTTCCTTTGTGGCAAGAGCCTCACAAAAGATGCTGTTTTCCAGCTGCCCTTGGAGCATCACCAGAAGGGAAAATCCCCATCACCCCAGACTTTCCTGAAGTGATGAGGAGCAGAAACCTCTGCCTGCCCATTCCCATCCCCTCTTCAACTGTTCCCCAACACAGAAGGATCTGCAAGGACATCAGGACATCACCTCTGGGTAGGACAGAAAGAGAGTTTTACTTAGGGAAATAGTATTTTACTTAAATAAATACGTAAAAATATTCCACTTACGTGATCAAATACCTCTTGAATTTCAGCATGGTGAGCTGGAGCCGTGGCTGGGGAGCGGGTGGTTATCACCCTCCCGGAGGCTGGAGAGCAAACACTGGAGCCTGGGCTGTGTGCTGTGGCAGAGGCCCCTCCCGGGGGGGGCACCGGGACACAGATCCCGTCAGACCTTCCCACCTGTGCCCAGGGGAGTGCCCAGCCTCTGAGAGGGTGAATGGCATGTCACACAGAGCTCTGGGCACGCTGTCAGCCCGTGCCAGTGTCCCTGCCTCACGCCTTGGTTTCACCCATGGCTGCTGCTGCTCCACTTTGACTTTTTCCTTTCTCTTGTCCTGATTTTGCCTCTTGACGAAGCCGAGGGCCAAGCTGCTTGTGACTGCTGAGTTCTTGGCAATCCTGATGTCTCCAGGTCGGTGCTGCTGAGGCTCTGTGGTGGCTGGGTCACCCCTGCATGGCAGGGACCTTGTCCTCTCCAGCTCACCACGGCTCCATCCATGCTGGGCTGGGGGTGTGGCTGTCCCCAGATCCCTCCTTTGCTGGCTTGGGGGGCACAGGGGGCCAGTCTGAGGATGGCACAGGAATGGCATGGATGTGTGAAGTGGTGTCTGGGGAGGTGAATGGGATGAGGGGAAGCAAAGTCATCAATCCCCCCTGCCAGGCCTGTGCTGTGCCAGGATCACCAGCCCTGCCAGGAAGTCAGCTGGCTTCCAGGACCAGTGGGAAGTAGTCACTGGCTGTGCTTCTTCCTGGCTGGTGGACAACATCAGACAGCTCAAAGGAGGACAGGGAGGCTGCCCTCCACAATGGAGGTCCTTTGTCCACATCATTCCCCTTCAAGGCTCATCCCAGCATCCTGCACAGCATCAGCCATGCTGTGGTGTGACCAGGGGCCCAGGCAGTTTGGCAGGGACCGTGTGCTTCTCCTGCTTGGTACAGACTCCCAGGGTGGTGTGGAGGTGGAGAGGGTGGCTGGGACATGGGACGTGAGGCCAGTGGCTCCAGCTGTGTCACACGCAGTCTGCAGGAGCAGGTGCCCCATGTGCCCGCTGGCCCTGGAGCAGAGGAGCTGGCCACGTGTGCTTTCCCTTGACCCATGCCCAAGGGGCTCAGGAGTGCATAAAGGGTAGATAAGTCACTTCCAGCGTGGACCTTGGCTCTCTGGAGGGACAGAAGTGCCCAGCTCCCTCCTTCCCTGTTGCCAGCAGGGAGGCAGCAGTTCCCCTCACTCACCCTGGCACAGGCAGGCACTGCCTCTCCCTGGCCACCTCATCAAAACCACAAGTTTGCTGTGGGGCTCTCGTGTTCTCCACCCATCCTGGGCTCCAGCTCTCTGCCTGGGCTGCCAGCTTCCCTGGGAGTCTGGGGCTTCCTGAGAGCCATGCAAGAGCTTGCAAGGATCAAACCCTCTCTGGAGCAGGGGCTGAGGGTCAGGGCTTCTCCCCTCTGATTCCCTCTGCACAGCCATGCTCCGTGCACTCCAAGCTGGATAAGCCTGCTTGGGGTGGATGGCTGAGGGGTCTGTGAGCATCCCCCATGCAGCATCTCCAGGGAACATCTTATTGCTGCAGGGCAGGGGGGCACTTTTGCTTGGGAGGCTCATCAACATGATGGTGTCCAGACAGGCATGGTCTTGCTCCTTTTTGGTTGTTTCCTCTTGCTTGATGGTCACTGGTGGGATTTGCCACTGCTCAGCTCACTTGTCTCCTTAAGGACAAACCTATTAGTTCATGGTGACCTCATGGAGGTCCAATTTCTACATGTAATCCTGCTCAAGATGTCCTCTATTCCTGTCTCCAGCCTCTTCTTGAGGCACCTATGGAGGAAAAACTCAAAAGGCAAAGTTGTCTGTTCCTGCAGGAACGGGGAGGTGGGGAGCACAGCGTGTGCTCTCCGCTGCCTGCGTGCTCCCTGTGCCAGAGGCTGCATCCAAGGCACTCTGCAGCTCTCCTGGGATCCTTCTGCAGTTGTGTCTCTTGAGAAGCAGAGGTGCCCTTGTAGGAGGCCTTGGGCACCTCCTCAGGTGGAGGTGAGCTCGTTCACTGCTGACCTCAGCAAAAGGCAGCTGAGGGGCCCCAAAGGCTCCAGTCCCTTCCTGGCGCTGTCCAAGACAACGAACAAGGACATGGCCACAAGACCCTCAGGACCTTGCCACTCTCAGGCAATGGCTTTCCTGCTTGGCCTGCCCATGGCCCAGACCATGCTGGTGGGTTTTTCCCAGGGTTGCTGGACAAGCTGCACCTGGAGAGCAGCCAGCCCTGGTGCCTTTGTACCTGGTGTGGAGGTAAAGAGGAGCACTTGGGAAAGTGCCTCTCTGGTGAAGAGGAAAGGAAACCTGGGAATGTGATTGCCCCTCCAGTGAGGAGGAGAGCAGACCTGTGACCTGGATTTCCAGCCCTGGGCTGGACCAATTGCCAGAGCAGTGGGTGATGTGAGGGAAAGGCCTGGCTTGAGCCTTGCTGTAACCTCAGCCAGCCACCTACCCCCTTTATCCTCCTCTCCTTATTCCTTTTTTTTCTGCTGGATGTGGAGCACTCCAGCATGAGAACAACCCAGCAGAGAGCTGTGTGTGGGTTTTTGTTTGGGCTTGCTGAGGGCAGATTCTGTTTGCCATCCACAACACTCTCTGCTGAGCCCCGAGGTGTGAACAGCCGCCTGCAGGTGGGCAGCACAACAGGTGACAGCCTGTTGGCAAGGTGACAGCCAGCAAGGACCTTCCAGGCAGGAGCAGGGGAGCTTTGTTCTCCACAGAGAGCTTCTTTGTTATCCTGAGACAGCTTGGATGGCAGGAAAGTGCTGCAGAAGTGAGGAGCAGGAGAAAAGCCACTCCCTGGGACAATTCCTTGGCTAAGGAGGGGTCCAACATCCTTGTGCATGTTGGCAAAGGGAGGCAGCTGCAGCCTGGAGGGTGCAGGCAGCCAGGGAGGTGTCTTTGTCAAGAGCAGAGTCTGGGATCCTGGGGAAGAGGAAACTGCTGCAGGGCTTTGCCAACTGGGGCAATACTTGAGAATTTCCTGGGTCTGGAATGGCCTGCTCCTGCTGGAAATGTCTCCTTGCTTTGAACATCTGCAAAATAAACAAAAACCTCAGAAAGGAGTAGTCCATGCTGCTGAAGTGAACCCATTAGCAGGAGCAGGTAAACTGGAGTGATACAGAAAAGTGATGTCTAGGGTTAAGATTATCCTGGGAAGGTCTAGGAGCCAAAGTGTTACTCATGAACTCATGTTAGAGGGGCCTGGAAGATCTCTTGGCAGTGCTGTGCTGGTGGGGCAGACTCCAAAGAAGCCTGGCTGGTACAAGGGGACGAGGAGCCATCCCACAGGGCAGTACCAGGGTGGCACTGGCTGCATCCACAGTGGCAGCCCAGGTGCCTGAGCCCGGATTCTCCTGGCTCCACACTTGTGCCTTTGCCTCCTGCAGGCAGCCAGAGTCTTGAGGACTGGGAAGGAGGTTGTTGCCACTGGGATAAGACAGGGAATTAATGCCTGATGTGGGACTGGGTTCCATTCCTCCCTGCAGATGGCCACAAGGAACCTGTTCACGTTGCTTATGTTTTTCCCACCTATTTAATTCTTTAATTTTTCTTTTTATATTTTTGTTGCGTTTCTGTGTTTGCATGTGCACTTTGCTTAAACAAGGATTTACCTCCATAATTTTCTACCAGCCTGTGGTCACATTGTCATTTGTACTCTGGTAACCTGGAGCTTGCTAGATCTTAAAGGGGGATGAAAAGACATGAGGACCGTGTGTGCTGTCCCAGCAAGAGTCAGCTGGCAGTGCCAGATGCAGGGACAGATTGTGGAAGCTGAGTTCTGGTACACTCCAATTTTCCTGGGTCTGCAGTTATTCCCACAAAACTCCCAATGGAGAGAAACTCGAGAAAGGTCCCCTCGCTGCCAGTAAACCATTTGTGCAGCTTTTCTGTTTGCTTTTCAGAGCAGTTTCCAGACAGACCTGTTCCTGGTCTGCCCCATGATAATTTCTGGATGACTCTGGGGTATCCAGCACTCTGCTTTATCAGCAAGGTGCAAGTTTGCTCTCCGAGTCATTCCCCAATCTATCAGCCCCTGGGCCTCCCCTTCCGCCGCTGGGCACTGCGCTCCAGCAGCACCCACCTAAATTGATCTTTAGTTAATTCCACACTCAGCAGAGAGAGCAAGGCATGCCCATTTCCCATTAACTCCAACAGCTCTCCTGGACTGAAGTGAGCCTGGCCTGCAGTGGCCGTGCCCATTGATACCAGCTCTGAAAGGATGCTCAGGGAGAAAATGCATCCAGCTGGGAATTTGGGAGCAAAGGGTGGTGGGAGCTGAGTGCAGGACCAGCGCTGTGGCTGCTGGGCTGGCTGGGATCTCACTGGGGCCCTTGTCCCAGAGACAAGGCAGAGCCTGTGCCAGCACTGGGCAGAGCTCCTCTTGGCTGGGAAGGCTGAGGAAGCTGGAAAAGCGTGGCTTTAGGCAAGGAGTGCGCTGTTGCTCTGGCTGTATGCTTTTGGCTGGAGTTGGGACTTTGGCCCTAATCGTACTTTTATTTGTTCTTTAATCTCAGTCACCTTATCAGAAGCCTTTGAACAACATCTCTGCTCAGCTGGAGAACGGGCTTTGCTGTGTCTTTTTGGTTGGTTTTGTTTGCTTGCCAGAGCCCTCCAGGAGATTCAGTGATCCCTCACAAACGTGGGCTTTGCCTTGAAGCCTCTGGAGGCTGCAGCACTTGGGTGCTGAAAGACATCTGCATTTCAGGGTGACTGACATTGGACTAGATCCCTCAGGGCCTTGTAGGATCCAGGATCTGAACCATTCCTGAGACTATCCATGTTGTCTTCATCAAAGACATCAGGTTACATGTTACTGGGAGGACTTGCTGGTCTCTCTGCAGAAGAAGAAATGAAAGTGGGCATCCCATGGGGTGCCATGGGCTCTCCTCAGCAGAGGTGGGATGAGCCTCCCCTTGTCATTGTATTTTGTCCAATTTTGGGCTGTTCAAAACAAGACAGACTTAGAGCACCTGAAATGGGTCTAATGGAGGGTGACAAAAATGCTGCTCTGTGCCCAGGAAAGGCTGAGGGAGCTGGTGCTGCTCAGCCTGGAGAGGAGCCCCAGCTGAGAGGGCCCTCAGCCCTGCCTGTCCCTGCCTGTCCCTGCCTGTCCCTGCCTGTCCCTGCCTGTCCTTGCCTGTCCCTGGGTGCAGGCAGGGCCAGAGCAGGGCCCGGGCTCTGCTCCGGGGGCCCAGCGATGGCACCAGAGCCACGGGCAGGGACTGAGCCCAGCAAGTTCCACCTGGACATGAGGAAGAACTTTCCTGGGTGGTGATGGAGCCCTGAACAGACCCAGAGAGGGTGTGGAGCCTCCCTCACTGGAGATATCCCAGAGCTGCCTGGACACAATGTGTGCCATGGCTCTTGGATGGCCCTGCTGGAGCAGGGAGGTGGCTCCAGATGCCCACTGTGGTCCCTCCCAGCCTGGCTAGTCCTGGGATTCTGTGGGACAGCTCCCATGGGTGAATTTCATGCAGTTTAGTTTGCTCCTGTTGCCTCCTGTCCTGTCACAGGGCACTGTTGAGAACAGCCTAGTTTCCTGCCTTCCTTCCTTCCCATCAGATGTTTACACACATCCACAAAATCCCTTCAAGACTGCTCTGGGATGAGCAGCTCCAGCTCTCAGCTGTTCCTCAACAAGAAGGACGCTTCACCCCTCACCACCTCCATGGCCTTGCGCTGGCTCCAGTCACTGCATCTCCCTTGTACTGGGGGGCCCAGAGCCAGCCAGCAGTGCAGGTGTGGCCTCACAAGTACTGAACAGTGGGAAAGGAGGCTGCTGGGGCCAGGGCAGCTCTGCTGGCCAAGGATGTCCTTAGGACTTTTCAAGGATGTCTTTGGGACTCTCCACGGCTGACCCCGAGGAGTGGGAAATGGTAAGCGTTGGGTCCAGCCCCAGATTTACCTCAGCCAGAGCTTGGTGCTCACAGGAAAATAGTGGAAATGGTTTTCAGGGGAAGCCTGGAGAGAAAAGCTGTATTGATCGAGGGAAACTGGGTGGAGCAGGTGTTTACAGAGCAAATGCCTTTTGAAACATATCAGCAGGCAAACAGGGTGGGGACCTCACTGGCTGATGCCACCTCCTAT